TAAAGTTTTCTTTTTCACTGATGCTCTAAAAGCTACACAAATCTGTTGTTTTGCCTTAAAAAAAGTTGTTTATGTGAGAATTTGTAGTTAAAATTCTGTTTATTCTCTTTACTAATTGGATATGGACATAAATCGACTTCATTTAGTGCATTTCCTGGTTTGTCTCTTTTTAATCTTTGTGGAAAACAACAGCCCCTGACAAGTTTAAATAAAGTTGATGAATAAAGACTTTACCAGCTCTTTGAACTTGAACAGTCCGTGTCCCGGAACCGCGATTCCCTCCTCCCGGTTTTCCGGAACCTTCTCGGACCTCCCGCTGCAGAGTCCTCGGACTCTGAGGGACAGCAGCAGGGACCGGAAACTGGCCGGTGACCTCTCTTGACCTCCCCGGTGCACGAGCACGGCCCCGGGCCCGTGCCGGTTAGTCTGTTTGAGCCCCTGGAGGCTCGCGCTCCGGTTCCCGGTGCACCGGAGCCTCAGGAGCCACGCGCCCGCCGTTAACCTCGCGCTTTCGGTGACCGGCGCGTGCCTGAGCCGCCACGCACCTGCGCGCGCAGCCGGAACGTTCGATGGAACGCTTCGAAGCAGCGGCGTGGCTAACCGCCGAAAACATGTCGTCATCATCCTCGCGTTACCGACCACCCGGCATCGTTCTATTCGTCTGCGTAGTCATGGTGATCTTTCGGACCCCTGGCAGCCGGTGCTCTCATAGGAGCTCTAGTCCGGACAGCGGGCAGCCATGTTGCCGTAAACCGATCCAGCACAGGGTGTCGTAAAATGTTTGGAAGTAAACCGTTCGTCGACGTCGTTTATTGGAAGAGGGGAATAAGCGGTATTGATAATGGATGGATGGATGGGAGCAAGACATCATTCTTTAAATAATGTATTTTATGGGAAGATTATTAACAATGTAATATAAGTATTAACATGTTAAAATAAAAATATTGTCCTATTTTAGTGTAAACAATTGTGTTAAAAAACATTTTTGTTTCAGACAATATTTTACATGAACCAATATATACACATAATACAATCAGAAATATTAATGCACAAAAAAAAAATAAAGCTACAAAAAAAATGTCACATTCATAGATATATACATCATATAAATAGGATTTTCTTTCTTCAAAAGTAAGGATACTTTGTTAATGAGTGAAAAAATATAATACAAACCACTACTAGTGATTATTTTTCTTGTGCACCTGCTTCTTGGTTTGTTTTCAAATACGAAAATGCCTTTATACATCCATCAAAAATATTCTTGACGCAGCAAAGAAATTCTTAATGGCATTCATCTCTCACTTTCAGTCCGTATTATTTCAGGAGGTTGTGGTTAATCCGCCGGGAGGAACTTCTTCCTGAGGTTCAATCAGTCTGCTCTCTGTCAGCTGTAATTGTTTCAGTGTCTTCAGGGGGTCAGAGTGTAGCCTGCTTATGGCAGATCTCTTCTATTTCGAGTTTTACAGGTAATTAAGAGGGGAGTTCTTCCCGAACACTGACCTCGGAGCAGTCTGATTGGATTCTGGGTGAGGAGTCAGACGGTCTGCAGCTGGTACAGTTTAGGGCCCTTCTTCAGCAGGAAACCTTGTTCATTCAGGGAACTCAGGAGACCTTGAAAATCCATCACCTGGAAGGAATTAACAGGTGACAGACACTGAGTAAAACCTCTATCTTTCAGATAGTGCTGATATTTTACTGAGTACTAGAATCAGATTTTAGTGCATGTTTCCAGGGAAAAGCTTGAAGTTTGTGGTGGGAAGCCAGCAGTTATTTGCCCCCTTTGAAATGCATCTTCATATTATTGAACATTTTTAAGGTTTTGTAATGGAGGGAACTGTTACCTACTATGACTACTTTCTCTCTCATGGAATAAATGGGGATCTGATATCACGCTAATCCTGCCTCTGCTCACTAACTGATGGCCATGACTGCCTTTTTTTTCTGTCTTTGTGTATGTTCTACTCTGTTTAGCACCTCTAATAATGGTGTTATTCAGCGATTATGTAGGGCAGCTCTCAGGTAGCTCAATTACAGAAGGTCTAATGCAAGTTTGGACGTATCTGAGTGATGTCAGGAACACACCATGTGGCCCAGTTGAAATCTAAAGCTGAAAATGGCTGTCTTATTACAGAAAAACAAGTGATGAGGATATTTAAAGCCACCACAACATAAACTATGGATGAGCAAACATGCTCAAACACAGAATTAGTTGGGGTGCTTTGAGGACTAAAATGACAATAATCAAGTAAACATAAAGTGTGTGTGTTTCTGAAAATAGATTAAGGTTATTTTATAAGGTTAATGCTTATAAAATAAGGTCAACATTCAATTTATGCAGTAACCAATGTACAGATTTAAAAAAAAAAAAAAATGTTTATTGTTTTAGTACCCCTATTTATTTACTTAGACATTGCGTTTTGAATTTCTAATTATGTAGAACCGTCACCTTCATGTTGAGTTTGTCAGCAATAGATCGAAGCATCTGGAGGTCGAACTGATTCTGCCCGGTCCTCTGAGCGTGTGCGTGCAGCGCGTTGACCAGCCGCTTCGCCACGCCGCGCTGACTCATGCCCGAGCCCAGCTGCGAGCGCTCAAAGTCCAGATTGCCCAGACCGTCCGAGTACGTGTCCGCCAGGCTGCAGAAAAACAAACAGCTCAGAACGGAGCGCTGTGACTCACAACACGCCTGATCTCCCACCGAATGTTGGGCTGCACAGAAGCATCAGGGCCTTCTTTTGTATTCATAAGGCAGATAATGGAGGACTGAGAAAAACGAGGACACTTTGGATGAAAAGCAGGAGGAGCATTACAACCTGAATTAGAAGATGTTCACCAGCAGAATGAAACAAACAAAAACACACTGTCATGCCAACTGACAAAAAAAGCACGACGAAAACATCAAAAACCTCTTTCATGCTCCATAAAAAAAATAAATCTTCAGGCGGACCTGAATTTTACAACATCACCAGCAAATCACTCGACTTCCTGTCAAAAAGAGGAACTTCCTGTTAGAGGGCCATCTTGAACATCAGTTCAATACATGCTGTGGAGGACAAAGGAGGAAAGTTGTTGAGATCAAAAGTTTAAAGAAACAAGCCAAACCAAGAAAACTAAAATCCCTCAGTTCACCGTCAAACTGGTTTTCAACCTGAATGACTGAATGACCCCTTCACCAATCAAATAAATAAAAAAATTTCAATAAAAAAAAAAAAAGAAAAGGGGAAATCCTTGTTCTGAGTTGTTCCTTGCTGACTGGGCTCTTTCAAGTGGAGCATTACTGAGTGAAAAAATCAAACTCACAACAAACTTGACACAGACCATCCTGAAAGACTTCCCCTTACCTGTGTTTCATGATCTCCACCACGTCCTCGGCGTCACTCTTTGTCGCCGTCTCTCTGAGCTCTAACTTTGCCCTTGCCTGCACAAAAAGGAGCAGAAATTCAGACTATAAACCTTGTTCATCCTGTTCCACCTTTCCTGCCCGTTTTCGTTAGTCTGGTGTTCTCTTCTCGCCTCAGTCAGTCTGATTAGAGACTCCAGTTGCCGCGTGGTGATGGGCGTGGCGTCGGAGGAGTGGGCCTGAGATCGCAGTGACAGGTAGAAGTCCTGGAGAGTTCGCGCGGCGTCGGGAGACAGTGAGGGATGGACGTACTGACGAGCATAGCTGATGTATTTCCTCAACAAGCAGGCTGGAATCAGGTCAAGACTTTCACCTGCAGAGATCTGGAAACAAAGCGTTCTGTAGATGAGATACGTGCAGAACTTTGTTCCTCAGTTTACTTTTTCCAGTATTTTCTTCCTGTCTAAATAAAAAGCTCTTAAATAGCTTAACTCATCGTCAATAGACGTTTTTTATGTTTTTCAACGAGAGTGGCCGGGGGACGATCTGCTAAAGCTTGTCCGTAAATATCAGGCTTCTAGACAGAGTATGTAGTAACAAATTGACCCTCTAGGGGGCAGTGCCACTTTTGATGGGAGATGAGCATAGACTGTAGGCAAATAAGAAAAAGGGAACGGTTCTATGAGAGAACATGTCGCCGGTGAGACGCAAGTCCAGGAAGAACGGAATAAGGTAGAAACACATTTTTTTTCCTGATGAAAGAAGAGAGTCTACTCTTTCTTTTGGTGTGTTCGGTGTTTACATAGTCATAGCACAAACTATTCTGTGGCTCTTGAAAAATCAGTCAAAATGCTCAAAAAACTCTGGCAGTCAATGAGTTAAAAAGCTTAATGTGTGGAATACACGCCGTGATGAACTTGCCTGCAAACGCTCAGACAGCGGCATGCTGGCGTGCTGGAGGAGGATGGAGGTCTCCAAGTCACAGGTTGCCCTGGTGACCACGGCGCTACTCGTTCTGGCCTTTCCTGACCGGTTTGCCATGACGTGCTCGGACAGGCGGCGGTCATGGGACTCATCGGGAATGTCCAGGAGGAGGAAGACGACATCAAAGCGTGAAAGTAGAGCTGAGCCCATTCTGTGGGCAAAAACGATTGAGGATTGATAGTGTTAGGTTATATGTTTATGTTTATGTTTATGCATTTGGCAGACGCTTTTATCCAAAGCGACTTACAGAGTAGACACAATATTACATTTCTCATCACTATGACAATAAGCTATATAGAGGAGAAACACTGATCAGAGTCAGTGGTGAGATAGAGATAGAGGTAGAAGGGTTACGATAGGAGCTGTGGGGGGATAGAGGTACGGGTTAGGGTTAGGTAGGTGGTTCCACCATCTTGGAACGACACATTAAACAGTCTGGATTGTCTTAAGCGTGTTGAAGCCATTAAAGGCTTCCGAGCACTCTTAGCTCACGGAGCAAACTCACTTCAGGTTTTCAGAGACGGTCTTCCCTCGGTTGTAATGGCCCCCGATGGGGTTTGCAGCGGCTACGACGGAGGTTCTGGCGGGCAGCGAGGAAACGATGCCGGCTTTAGCCAGACTCACAGACTGCTGCTCCATAGCTTCCAACAGAGCCTGCTGCTGGTTGCCCAACTTATCAAACTCATCGATGCAACACAGACCTAGAGAGAGGAAAAGTTACATAAGCACACCTGAGAGGAGGGAGGCAGCTCACAATGTGTGGAAAGCATAAAACTCTCAATCTTAAGTTTTGTAATTGTTCTCAGAGCTCAGAAAGGATTTTTGAGCTTTGAAAACCTGAGAAAGATGTATCCTTTTTAATTATGAAATTCAGACTGAATTAAAGAACAGAAAAAAAGACAACTATTTTTTTTTTGTGATAATTTTATGGAACTGAGTGATTTGTTTTACCATCAGGAATAATTCAATCCTAGCTAACACAATAAATAAAAAATGTGGTGTGAATTCACTGCTCTCTGTTTCTACCTTGGTCTGCCAACACCAGGGCACCTGCCTCCAGAGCATAATCCCCTGTTCCCCCATCTCGGGACAAACTCACTGTTAGCCCTACAGACACAGACAAAACAGAAACAAGGCATTATACTGATCATTTCTTCATTTTCTGCTTGTTAACAAGGTTATCCTATTTTAAAAATGTACCTGTGGTGCTGGTACTATTGCCACATACATAGATTCCCCTTGGAGCCACGTTACACACGGCCTACATGGGATGAAAAACAAAACATTCAAACACAGTCTAAGGACAGATGTTACAGTTATAATAACAAGAATTTAACACACAAAACATTCAAACACAGTCTAAGGACAGATGTTACAGTTATAATAACAAGGATTTAACACACAAAACATTCAAACACAGTCTAAGGACAGATGTTACAGTTATAATAACAAGGATTTAACACAGCTCTAAATTGAGTAAATGTGTGCTGTGTCCTGTTTGCTACCTGTAACATCTGACTCTTTCCCAGTCCGGGGTCTCCAACTATCAGGATGTGAGGGTCTCCCCTCACCGGGATGCTGTTCTTGTCTGTGTGCTTCTGTCTTCCGCCAAACAAAACCAGAGCCAGGGCGGCTTTCACCAGCTGCAAACACACGAGGAACGGGGTGGGTTTAAACCACAGACGGACAAAGATGAGATCTGGAAACAATAACAGTGCTAAACTCCTTTCTGAAGTTATTGTACTAGAAAGATTGAGATATTGTATGAATGGGAAATTGTATGCTTTTAAGAAAAGATGGGAACGTATTCTTGAAAACTTCAAAATTTCAAAAATGAAAAAACCAGTGATGTGAATCTGAATGACGTGTATGTATAAATTGGTTGTGTTTCTCATATGACGCTGTTATTCATGTACATGCCTCCAATTTGGATTTTGTCTTGTTTTTCTGCATCAGTGCTGTATAAGTTTTGCCCTCTTTTTGTTCTTTCCCTTTCTGTTTTTGTATAAATGTTTAAAAAAAACTAATAAACATAATTCATAAAAAAAAAAAAAGTGCTAAACTCACCAGATGGCCGTAGATGGCGGGACACAAGGAGCTGAAAAAGGCCAGCAAAGTGAGTAATAGAACTGATGTATGAATTGAATGTTACACAAGGAAAACTGCATTTTAAAGCTCTGGCTTTTTAAACGTAGTGAGTTCATCCTTAATGGAGGTTTTCTAAATGCATCATGCATCCTTAATTTCCTGAGGGAGTCTTCCCAAGGGATCAATAAAGTACTGTCTATGTCTAAGTCTAAGTCTAAGGTGGTGACAAACATACTGAACGATGAGTTTAAGCAAGTCAGGCTGCGACTGGATCTCCTGGATGGCATACAGCTCCTTCAGACTGAACTCTTCCCCTCCAGAACGGTCTTCAAGAGACCCCTGCGAACCCTCGCCTTCAACCTTGGACAGCCGGCCTAAAGACCAGAGAAAATAAGTCGCCACTGGAGGAGTTTGATACAAAGGCGTGATGTTTAGTAGGGGTGGGACGGTTCACAAAATCCACGGTTTGGTTCGATTCACGGTTTTCGGTTCGGTTCGGTATATGTTGATTGTTAGGAAAATCTATTATGTCTTGTATAGTCAGGTTAAAACTGAAAGAAAAAATCAGTCTGACATTTGATTCATCATTGTGACAGTCTGAGGTTAAAAGTAGGTGAGATTCTGGCATTGCAAGAGAGGAAACAGTGCTAATTCCAACATGTGCTTCACTCTAAATGCAAAGTGGTCCATATAGCACACCTAGAAACTGTTGTTTGCGCGTCAGATTTTTATTATCGGCTACGCTGCTTCTTCTTCTTCTTGTTTACTGCTGGTGGTTGGCTTTGGGCGCAATAGCGCCCCCTTCTGCTCTGGAGTGAACACGCATGAACCGAACGCAACACACGCGAATCGAACCGAGACAGTCGAACCCAACGGTTCGGACGGTTTTCAGAAACCGTCCCATCCCTAATGTTTATACCAGGGATGAGTCAGATGGTACCTTTAGCGTTGCTGACCGAAGTGGCATCGATGTAGAGGAGGAACAAACACTGATCTTTATTTCCTTTGGAATAGCCTGGACAAAAAAAAACAAAAAAAAAACACTGAGTGTGTAAACAGTGGCAGAAGAGCAGAGTTTTGGGATGGATTAGAGGCTTTGATGTATCCATGAATAATGTGTTTGTACCCTCGTTAAGAACTCGAACTATCCCGGTCACAATAACGGTGTCTCCGGGGACACAGCTGTCACAGAGGTCAGAGGTCAGGTGGCACTCCACGGTGCGGGGGATCCGCCCCGTCTCCCTCTGCTCCCCGCCCATCAGCTCCTGAACCCTGAAACCAGACCAGAGCATCAATGTCCCATTTTCTGTCTGTCATTTCATTTAATTTCATTTGAAACATGATATGATTTAACAATGTTTACATTGAATGCTTCATAAACATGCATCATGTTTCAAAAAGGAGTAACTTATTAAGCCCTATCCCTCAGTCACATGTGTCATGGTGGTAAAGGACAATTATTTACAGTAAGACAAACAGTATACCAACTTTTTATATATTACTCTTTTTTGTATCCATCAAAAATACTTTTCTTATATTCTTTTTTGAATTGCTGGATGCTTTTACATTGTTTAATGTTTTCAGGCAAGCTGTTCTAGAGCTGTCAAAGCGGTATCTCTGTTTTTTTATCTTTAGGATTAACAGAACATCCGGTTGTTTGAAGAAAAACGGAGAAAAACGCAAAGTTACCCTGCAAAGTTACTGCAGAATACAGTGGCTTCAATGCCCCATTTTCTGTCCGTCAAAATGGTATCTTTGTTTTTTATCTTTAGGATTAACAGAACATCAGGTTGTTTGAAGAAAAACGGAGAAAACCGCAATGTTACTGCAGAATACAGTGGCATTATGCCACATTTTTTATCATTTTTTGTTTCCCTTTACATCTGCTGGATCATTTATGTTTATGTTTATGCATTTGGCAGACGCTTTTATCCAAAGCGACTTACAGAGTAGACACAATATTACATTTCTCGTCACTATGACAATAAGCTATACAGAGGAGAAACACTGATCAGAATCAGTGGTGAGATAGAGATAGAGAGTTGTGGGGGGGGTAGAGGTAAGGGTTAGGATTAGGATAGGATTTACACACGCTAAACATCCAGGAGCAGGTTTTTACTTACTTGATGATCTGCCAGTCGACTGTGTGCGTGAGAGGAGAGCTGCGGATGGGAATGAAGGACTTGCTCCGACATCCAGGCTGGACGCACTGGGGGATCAAACACAGAGGGGAAAATTAGGCTTTTCGATTACTTTTAAAAAGTAATGTAACTAATTACATTTGATTACTTTTTTATTACTTTAAGGTTTTAATGAGTATTAACCCATGATTAATTTTAGCATGTTATTATTAGCTATTGGCCGCAGCTAGCAGTTCAAGGCTAACGTCTTGTTAATGATCATAAACAACGTAAATAAATACATAAATAAATCGGAGACAAGGGGCGCAGTCGTATCCGGATACAACATTTTAGTATCGATACTTTTGACAACCCTAGTCTGAAATGTAGGACATGTGAGGACATCTGGTCACCTACAGTTGGGTAGGCTAGTTTAGGCTAGGCTAGGCTAGGTCATAGACATCGATAAACGTTTGTCATGCATCAACACCAAACAGTCAAATATTAGTAAATCAATACGCTTCGTCTATCAGTGAGTTGCATATTTTGCAAAGGTTTTTCTTTATATTTTTAAAAAAATGTAACTAAATTTGTAATTCTTAATATTTTCGGAAGTAACTGTAACTCAATTACATATTTTCTCATTGTTACTGCAACGAATTACAGTTACTCTTTTTTTTGTAATTAAATTACGTAACGTCGTTACACGTAACCCGTTACTCCCCAACACTGGTGATGGACGGCTTTGGTTGGCTTACCTTGGTGGGCGTGGCGTACTTCCCGTGCTGCAGAGGCAGGGCCATGGTGTGAGTGCAGGTCTGGCACCTGAAGGCCATCCTGGTGCAGGTGGGCCGGATGTTGCTCACTCTGACCACCGTCCCCTTCACGCAAACCAGCCGCCCGAACACGCTGGCCCTCAGCGTCCGCAGCGGGGTCAGCGGCTCGTAGTTATACAGCCTGCGGAGCACGTTCAGGGAAAATGTCACTTACGTTCAGCAGCAGTGGTGGAGAACGTACTCATACAATGTACTTAAGTAAAAGTACAAATACACAGACAAAAATGTACTCAAGTAAAAGTCAAAGTACCACATTATTATTTTACTTAAGTAAAAGTAAGAAAGTACAAGCTTTTAAAACTACTTAAGTATTAAAAGTAAAAGTACTTGCCAACCATAATACCTAACGGCTTATATAATGTCATTAAGTGTACCTATCGTATTTAGTTTTAATAAATCAGTAATGTACCATTTTAATGAGCAATGCTGCAGATAAAGCATGTTTTTATTGTGTTTACCCCCTGTGACAGTTTAGATTTAGATATTTTATGCAGGTCCTGCGTACTGTTCTGCTCTTCTTGAGGGAGGGCCTAATGGTTATTTCCCGCTTTGGATTGGTCCAGCGGACTGATTCTGCTCTCGCCATTGGATACTTTCAAACTAACAAACAAATCAAAAAAACGAAATGCGTCTTGGATGTAACGAGTAACGAAACGCTGTATAGAAATGTAGTGAAGTAGAAAGTACAGATACTTACTGTTAAATGTAGTGGAGTAAAAGTAGAAAGTATCCATTATTAAATCTACTTAAGTAAAGTGCAGATACACGGAAATTGTACTTAAGTACAGTAACGAAGTACTTGTACTTCGTTACTTCCCACCACTGTTTAGCAGCAGGTGCTGGGAAACCGCCGGATGTCTGCGTTACCTCGCGCTGATGTGAGGGATGTTGATAATTGGAGTTGAGACGGGAAGCTCGTCCTCCTGCAGCTCAGCAGCTTGTTTCTCCAAATCTGTGGTCAACACCTGAATCACACACTTAAGGGTCAATAGTGTGTTCTGGGTAATAATCGGCCTTTTCATAGACTAGAATTTAGATTGAGCTCTTTAACCCTGCAATGCCAAATGTATCATATTTGATACATAAGGTTTCTGAAATGTTTTCCGTCTGACACCTTTTGCATAATTTAATGGTAAAAACTTTGCTCAAAATCCTATTGTGCACAATCAGATACACCTGATAACAGGGGGCAGAAGATTACACAAAAAATAATCAAATTAATAAATTATTGATATTAAAAATGTATTTCAGTTTTTTCTTTTTACATATTTTGTTAAAAGGCCAAATAAATACTTAAAACAAAAAAAAAGTATGTTTCTGTTTTGTTTTATTCTTGGATCGGGCTTTAAAGAGTTAAGCTTAATAAGTTTTAAAGTAGATTAATTAAATAAACTATAAGAATAAAATGAATTTAGCTTCTATTGTAAGCATAGATATGGAAAAATATAAATGTTAATTGCTTCTGTTTTTGTTAAAACAAACAAACAAAAACAGAAAGGTTTTAACTTGAAGAGGTCAGTTCATACCTGATGAATTGCTACTCCCAAACAGTTGAGCATCACCTCCGGCTGTTCCTTCAGGTCAGTTATGATGCCCGGCAGTGCTTTACACACAGCTTTGTCTCCTATCAGATCTGTGTAATCCACCAGCACACTGCCCTGACGCTCGATCTCATCCTGCACGCAAACACACACAGGAACGGTTCTCACGTCTGTGACATGGACAAATAGCAGCTCAAACTCAGAGATATGCACGACAGACTTTGTCAAAGAGGTGAATCCGGGAGGTGAAGTATTTTTCAAACACTTTGATCTTCTCCACACAGAGGGAGCTCTGAATGAAGCCTACATATAAAAGATGAAGATCATACAGAGAGAGAAAGGTATTCAGACAGATCATGATATGAGAATAGTTTTATTATAAAAGCAGGACAAACACACACACATACATACCCTCTGTGAAGTAGAGTGTCCACCCTTTGTATGGGCACAAAGCATCAAGTGTTGTTTGACAGGGCACTGGGGGGGGTAGTAGAGGAGTTAGTTTCATTTACTGAAAATGTCATTTACTTCTATAATTAATGAAACCCTACAGATGATGTTGAAAAATTGCTATTGTTATCAACAATAACAGAGGAAAGAGACATCGCTCACGTCTGAAGATAAAGTGGAAAAGAAAAGAAGGAACTCACCTCTCTGAGAGCTACATTCTGGGATTGCTAATCCTCCTCTCCAACCTCCTCCTGACCCGCTGCCTCCTCCTCCTCCTCCTCCTCCTCCTCCTCCTCCTCTCCACGGTCTACTCCTCCATCCTCCTCCACCTCCTCTCCAGTTACCACCACCTCTGCTGTTTCCTCCTCTCCATCCTCCCCCTCCCCTACTTCCTCCTCCTCCTCCTCCTCCTCCTCCTCTCCATCCTCCTCCCTCTCCACCACCTCCTCCTCTCCATCCTCCACCACCTCCTCCTCTCCATCCACCTCCTCCTCCTCTGTTTCCACCCCTCCACGATCCTCTCCTGGAATCATCCGCACTCATTTCTTCAAACAGAAAAAAAGGAGCAAACACTTGTAAGCTCTAACAGCACAATACACATACAATATTCTCTATATCTAATTCTATGAAACATACAATAACTGGTAAATGACAGTGAAGAGATATAAATTGCTGACCCCTCTTTAATCATCCTATTTCAAAAGAGGTGGGTTGTTTTTAGATCAAACCATTTATAAATGTATAGGCATACAGACAGTTAAAACAGACAGTTCAAACAATAATTAAGGACTACACTGCCACAAAAACACCGAAAACAACCATCAAATAGCACAAAATAAGTTGAACAGTGGCATATACAACTTTATATCTAATTCAGACTGACGACGAAACAAGTGTTAGCAACATCTATCTCAGCCGTCAGTCTGTTAAATGTAAAACAAAATATACAAACCTTTCGTTTTGTGTCGAATAATACGAGAAAAATAGTTTCACAACGAAGAAAGCCTTTAAATATGACTTTTACCGAAACGTTACAAACGTGTCTGTTACCAAACTAACTGTCAAACTTCCCTCCAATGACGTCATTCTTCCTCTTCGGTCTAATTTTAACACATCAGCTTTGTTGGAATGCTTCCGCCCCCCAGAGGACATCCGCGCCACTACAGGTCAAAGCGGTTATTTATTTTTTCTGTTTAATTTGAATAAAGAAACTACCACAATTGAATAGTAGACATTTTCAAAAATCAAAATAATAACTTTTTCAAATGGTTAGGTATTACATTTTGGACTATCATAGCTGACTTTCTTTGACTAATGGTATAGAAAATGTTTACATATATGCACATACATGACACATTCCTCCCTCCATTGTCAATACCACTTATTTCCCGTTTTGTTTAAGGGGATTGGGGCCTATCCCAACCTCTTCAAACAAAAGACCTTTGCAGAACTGCCTTCTATGCTCTACAGGACAAAGAACTGTGAAAAAACATGGTTAGCATCATTGTCATCATCAGAAGAAAACTTAACTGACAGGACTGTTAAAAACTACATTAATTTAAAATATCTGCATTGGATTATTATTGAATACCCACACAGAATCTGAAATGGAGTTGACTCATATTGATTCCTCACAGAATATCTGAAGTCCTCTGCTTCCACCTTCTGGACATTTCATGTTTTTTAAAAATAAAATAAATGATAAGACCATCTTCCTCTGTTCAACTTTAAAAAGGATTACAACTGAGTTAATATTGTGTTGCTGACTGTGAGGTTGCCCTGAAGTACTTAGTGTTAACAGCACAGAGGGCCAGAGTGTAAAACAGGCTGCTGGAGTCGGTCACTTCTGGGAGAGATAAAGAACTAAATCAGAGCAGGACGCGCTCACTGATGGATGAAAAAAGTTTTCAGACGTCTGTGGTTTTTCGGTGATAAATACGGAATGCAAGGGGCATTTTCAGGCCTATCCCGAGGCCAAACAATCACCGCGGGGAGATGGATGCGGAGGCAACGAGGAGCCGCTCCGCTCAGCAGGCTATTTAATCTGGGTGTGATCAATCAGAAGCGGATCAATGCAAATTCGAGGCGATTTAGAAAACACAGGGAGATCGTTTTCAAAGCAGTTTGTTTTTCGACCCAGATTTGGGGCCCGAAAAGTTAGGAGCATCTATCACTGCTGCTGGCACCACGCAGATATTGATATGTTTTTAAATGACTGGTGTCGGGTTGGAAAAATGTCACCCCTTATGTTTGGGGGGG